CCCCCCCCCCCCCCCCCGATTGCTCCATTTGCAATCTAGGGGAGAAGCCCCCGAAGGGAATTAAGGAGCAGCGTGCCCGGCGCATGGGTGGCTGCATTGAGGGACGAAGGCAAGGAAGAGCTGGGAGAGTTGGCCAGCGGGGCGGGGCTTTTGCCCTGGAAGAGCCTGAAGACTTGTCACTGGATGGGGAGCAGCAAGCAGCCATGCCCCCCAGCCCTGTCTTGGTACACAGCTTGTGCACGGAGGGTCCAAGAGAGACCAAGACCCTGGGAGCCGCACAAGGCGGCTTGGGTCTCCAACCCTTGGCACGAGGCCAGGCAGTCAGTGTACGGGCAGTGCACGGAGAGTCCGAGAGGGACCAAGACCCTGGGAGCTGTACGAAGTGTCTCGGGTCTCCAACCCCTGGCAGGAGGCCAGGCAGTTGGTGCACAGGTTGGTGCATGGAGGGTCCAGGAGCGGACCGAGACCCCGGAGCCACACAAGGCAGCTAGGGTCTCCAACCCCTGGCACGGGCCGGGTACATGATACACAGTCAGTGCATGGACGATCCGGGAGCAGACCGAGACCCTGGCGCCACACCAGGCGGCTTGGGTCTCCAACCCCTGGCACAAGGCAGGGCCAATGGTGCAGAGAGCAATGCACAGGTCCCCAAGCAGGCCAGAGGCCAGGAAAGCCCCAAAGCAGCTGAGGCCCCCCTGCCAAGGGGAGAGACACCTCACACCGGAAGACAAGGACAGCCTCACCGGACTCTTGGAGGAGTCGTGAGTTGCCTGGGAAGGGGATTTCTACAGGGAAGAAGGGTCTTCCTCCCATGATGAGTAACTGGGATATTTAAGTTTGTTAAAGGGGCAGCTGGGGTATGTGGGGCTCCCCACGTCTCATCTAGGGCTCCTCCTTCTCCTGGGGCATTGTTATTGTTTGTTTATTCCCCCCTGGGTCTCATATTTTGTAAACCCTGCGCCTCCTATTTTGTGAACTTGTGCCTCATGCTTTGCAGATTAGTATTTCACTAGAGAATAAGACTGCATGATGTTTACGGAGACCCTTTGTTTCCCAGATCCCTCACCTGCACCCAAAGTATTTGCATAGAGTTGTGTGTGTGTGTGTATGTATGTATATATATTGCAGATAGTTCCCATGTCTTTATTATATATGTTCCATTTTTAACTCTGATTATATGTTAATACATTTGTATATTGTTAAGTCTTAAGATGTGTCCCCACTTTATAGGGGAAGGAGGAAACTGTGTGCAAAAGGCAGTTTCACCCCACAGAGCACCTGCTGGGCTAACATTCCCTTCAATTGGAGAGGGGAGTACATAATTGAGTACTACCCGGGCTACAGAAAATTTACAGTTTTGGATAGTTATATCTATTTTATAAATAATTCCAAGCAAACCAACCAGAACCTCTTCTGAGACTGTGAAATATTCCACCAACTTGGTTACAACTTTGTGGGAACAAACTTCCCAAGAGTAATTTTGCAGCAGAGAACTACTGAATAATATAGATAACAAAAGGAGAGAAACATCTTTTACCAGCTGCCACACTAGTTTCCACAGAAAGATTCTTGCCTATTTGAATGCATACCTCAATTTTGATATGGCTCTATCAGCTGCACCCAGCCAACACGGCCTTCATCATTTATTTAGATCCAGAAGGCACTGCCTTTGGAAATTATGTGAAACATGCGGTTTTTTGCCTTGGTTACCGTCACATGCACTGTGGTAGGGACAAGTTTGCTACCTTCAGTGTGGCTGAATTAACTATGATGGGAAAGCCAGTTTCTCTGACAGCTTTTGCCACTGCTGAAAGCTTTGTTTCAGTGGGACCTTCAAGTCAAATGCACCAGCTGGCACTCCACCCTCATTCACACACCATTATGTCTCATGTCAGATATAGTTTAGAGACACAGACATAACAGGCACCAGGAAAGGGAACAAGTCAGGTGGCTGTAAAGAATAAGAAACAGGTAAGAAGTACATAGAATTTATTACAACCCACCGCTCATGCTTGATCCAGCCTTTCTAATATGCAACAAAGAGCCAATATAATCCAGAGAAGTTGGAGCATTTAAGAAACCCACTGACCCTTTGTAGGCAGGGGTGGGGGCAAGGGAAGAAGGGAAAAGACAGACATTGAGACCATGGTGACCCACATCCTACTCTGAGATGGATTTAATTACTCGAGGAAGGATTCTGCCAATATACATTTAAGAAGGGAGTGGGTTTCAAAGAGGTTTTTGTACCACCAGCCCCTTCAAAGATGTTTTTATACATAAAAAGCTTTTTTGTTCATTAGGATGTTCACCTCACAAAGCTTTGTCATCACTTGATGTCTCATAAGTAAGAGAAGGAGACAAACTCTTAAAAAAAGAGTGGGTTTTCATGCTATCATCCCTAATCAAGGACAAGGGAACAAAATGTGATGCTACAACATGCTGGCTGAATCATCTTAACTGTGGAAGTTAGTGGAATATGAAACCATGCTCGTGTGCAATACTTTTATGCACAAAAGGTACTGGGGTGCAGGGAGGACTGCATGAGGATTTGAGAGTGATTCCTACAAAGGACAAGTACAAATTCTTGAGATAATTACACTTTGCTATTTGACTCTTCACACATTAATAAAAAAAATTATGTCATATTAAAGACCACATTTGGATTTGTGGGCCTGAAAAATCCATCAGTGCTGGATGGCCTTTCATGGAGAACATGCTCCTGAAGATTCAAAGAGGTTTTCCTTTAGCATAATGTTATTTTTAGAAGAGAAGGAGCTATGAAAGTACTCCTTTTGAATTGACGTGTTGATTACTATCATTAACTCTTCCTGGATCCTATTATTTATGTTAATACTGGTAACGGTGAATAAAAGATGCACTGGAAAAGGCTCATAGTCTTTTCATGGGTACATTGGAAAAGGTTCGGAGTCTTTTCATGGCTGTTAACAAATTATGGCTAAAATACAGTTTGCATTCACTTACTCCTTGCTGAGAGTTCCTGCAGCTACTCATCACTCCTGGTAGGTTTCTGCATTTCCCTTTACTGAGAACAATATTCACACTGTTTACATTTCTGGTTACATCACTGTGGGCTTAAGTTTTCAAGAGCAACTAGTGATTTTGGACACCCAAATTGAAGGCTAAATTATTCAAAAAGCAGGAACTGTGTTCATCTTACACTGCCAAGCACACAAATCTTGAAGTGTTCTGGCAGTAAACAGACACAAGAGCTGTAAATGCCAGAAGCCACTCTATTAGAGCTCGCTCCTCACTGCACCTGTGGAGGAAGGGACAGCCACACTTCACTCAACTAAAACATAATGGGTACTTGTACACATGACAGGGGCTTAGTTCCCCAAACCAAAATGCTGGGTTTTTAATTCCAACGATTAAAATCCCACTAATTCAACTCAGGAGCTTCCAGCACTGTTACAGCGAGGGGCCTGATCCTTCCTCCCTGCCCCTGCCACAAAGCCTGCCTGCATCTCCCATGGCAGGGGGGCGAGCTGCTGGTGGGCTGAGTGGCCCCTGGACTGAGGTGGGGGGGGGCAGTTCTTCCTTCTGTGGCGGCAGGAGCACCCCCCTGGGCTGCCAGGGTGGGCTGATAGTAGGCAGGTACTGCCCCAGTTCAGGCAGCACCCATATGCTAACTGCTCGCTCAAGCAGCCCTGGGGGGCACCACTACGGTGGAGGGAAGGATCAAGACCCCCTCATTTATATCATAAAAACCCCCCACACATGTACAATGTGATGCAATTAATTTGCAAAATCGGCCAATTTCTGTCACATGTCCGAGCGTCCAACGCAACCTTTCAGCACTTGTCCAAACTTATGGTGCCTGAATTTCTCATCATCATCTTCAGTACACTGGTTCAGTCTATGAAGTCTGCTACTCCCAGTCTGCAATACTTCCCTGTTCCATCAGGTATTTGCCTGCTCCAACTAAGGGGGAGGCATTACACTTTGAGGCCTCTAAGGTCCCTGGATTGCCCCTATGAAGTGCAGACCAATTTAGTGCTATGTGCTCAGGCATTAGCCACTGTAAGCAGGTAATGAAATGGAACCAGTTCAGCCACGTCAACCCACCCACAATATCCTGCAAAGCAGTTTGTTGCGGACAGATGGTCTCATCACTCACGTAAGTAGCTATGATGTTTTCCTGGGCCACCATGATTGCCACGTAGAGGAACAGAGCAGAAATGAACATACTTATGGAGCAGAGAAGAGGGTCAGCTTTGGAGTTAATCTTCCTCCATCTTTTTGCAACTTCTGCCCCAGTGACGACTCCAAAAATTCCTGTCCCAACAGTAATTCCTCCAAATATTAAGCTGGTAGTAAAGGAAAGGGATGCGGTGAGTAGGGTATATTAAGGAAAAGATGCATTATTAGTGGTCAGTTAGTTGTGACACTAATCTTAGGGTTATAGGAAAAAATAATCCAATGTGGGCTCTGTTTTATCCGGGTATCCCAATCCCTTCTATCCAAGGCTACATTACTGAAGCATGCAAGTTACACTTCTGCTCTTGATTCCTGCCCACTCAAAGCAGATGTTTTCCTGCAGAGCAGCTGTTAACATATATGCCCTCAAAAGACGAATAAAACCCCACTGGGGTCTCTGCTAGTAGGAGCTGTCTGAAAGAACCAGCGACTTAAAGGAGCCCCCAGCCATCCTGGCCAGTCCAGTAAACTAAGATACTTCCTTACGTATACCTACTCCTACCCCCACAGTAGAGATGGGGCTACTGGCCTCACAATCCACTCCCTTGGAAGGGCTCTCATCACGCTGGAACATGCTGGCGTAAGAGTTGTAATCCTCAAGTGACCCATCTGGCCAGACTAACTTCTACTGCTGGAAACAGCTTTTACTTTTCAGAGCAGCTCGGAGTAGATTAAGTAACTATCCAACTGAAACTGCATGGGACATTTTCACAACACGGGATTTCAAATGCCACTTGGGTTCCTTTTGTAGGCCTGTAAGAGCTGACATCCTCATCAGAAATAGCCAGTACCCTCATCAAGAAAGCATGTACCCTCATTAGCTTCCTAAGGGGCTCCTTGCCCCTCAACATCCCCACAGTCCCAAATGAGATTCCAGTGACAAAGCAAGACAAGACTATGGAGTCACTGTTGAACACATCATGAACTTCTTCATCCGAGTGGAAACAGGGGCAAAGGAGAGTTCTGAGAACATGAACCTTTAAATATATTTTAACAAGGTCCATAGCTTTATGCTGAACCCTACTTTTTCAGTTCACCTTAACTCTAGGGCTAAGTACAGATAGTCAAAAAGCCCGAGACTGAATCAATTCAATCTTCACAGGTTCGTCTAAGCTGTATAGACTGAACTGATAAACAAGGGCAATGACAAATGTGGATAAAAAACAAAACAGAATGCATTTTGCTAGAAGCAGCAGTGCATTAGTTTGACCCAACTCTGCAGCTTTTGTATAGAATGGGCACTTCAATGGGGCTTTTTGGTACTTGTATTTAATAGCTGATTGAATAGCTAAGGTGTTCAATCTCTACAGACATTGGTGCAAATAAGGTGCTGCCTCTTCTGGGCATGTGCTGGGCTCAGCGTGGAAGCGCACCAAGTTTAAAGTAAAGCAACATTTTTTTTCCACATCTGCAAGCAGCCTAAGTGAACAGACATTCATTCATTTTTGATTCTGGAAATGCAGCCACATGCCTGCAGTGGCCCAGGCCAGAAGCCGGGGGGTGCTACAGCACACCTCCCTGCTCAGCTGCAGCAGACAGTTTGGGGCAAGGCTAGCTCACCCACCCTGTGAGGGGTGGGGTTTGCAGGGGAAATGCAAAGCATACTGGCATGATGGAAGACTGCCAGTTAACTTGAATCGGGGGGGGATCTGAGACAGAAGTTCAATAAACCAATTTAACCTAAATCAGTTAAGTCTGATACTACATCCACCCAGGTTTATCTTAAACCAGTTTCAGCCATTTTGCAAGCAGCTTATGTGCGCTGGACTTCTGTTGTGTTATAGATCTGAACTGGTTTATGTGTAATTTCTATCCCTAGCCCAGGGCAGGGGCAACTGCATTTGTAGTGATCAAACTGATGCAGTGTACTGGCTCTTCCAGTGCCTCCTGGATAACTGGACATTATCACTTCACTACTTCACTGTAGAATTAGTAGGAAAAATAATCCAATGGCACTAGGCAAAGCATAAGGTTACTACAAGTTCACCACCCTCAATCCTCTAATTTATAACTAGTAATAATTCTTGTAGTATGCATAGAACCAGCAAATCTTTTACAAACATCTCTGCCAGGTAGAGTCAAGTTTGAAATCAGAAGCAGCCTAGCATTAGTCCATCAGAGGGCACAACAAAATATGTAGAGAGAAAGAAGTACAGAAGCCAAGCTGTGGAGAGAGAATTTTCTTCTTTAGGTTGCCCAGGGGTCTTTAAGCATCTGAGAACCCCAAGTACTTGTCTGACCTGTGCAAAGGTCTCCGTGTGAAGACCTGTACATAAACTGCATGGTATCTGAAGGGCTGAGTCAGCTATGCTGCAGGTTGAATTTTTGTTTCCAGGGAGCCTAGGTGCTGCAAGACTGATCCTTAAGCAAGAGTCATCCCCTCTGGCTGTTAATCAGCTTCAGACATGCTTAAAGTATCACTGGGGAAATCCAGGAATGTGCAGCACCCTGAAAATCCAAGCACTAGCAGATGTAAATCTGATATTTCCCTTTATGCCACTCCACCAAAAAATATGTGTAACCAGCTATATGAGGTCCTTAGCATTAGCTCCCATGACAGTTTAAAAAAAGAAAAGAAAACCTTAGCATACAATGCAGTATGTGAGATAAGAGTAAATGTCAGGCAGTCTTTTACTTCGATGAAGGTAGCATTTACTCTAATATCATTATCATCAAATCATCCAAAATGCGAGTTAGAAAATAAAACTGCATCTTATGCTTGGAACAAGCAAAATGGGACTAGCATCTCAGCAAAACAAGTTCCTCAGAAATAGTCACTAGTAGAGAAGATATGGTGGGTACCTGCAGGTGACAATTCATGAACTCTCACATCAGTATGCCTATTATCTGAAACTGGGCAGGTTTCTCCAGGCTGGACTTCACTACCAAAGCTTGTCCTAGGATTGGCCAGTGCAAAAATAGTTATGTACTGAAGTTCTGATCTGCTGCCATCATCTCCTGGTGAACTAGCCAGTAAACTGTCCAATACCTCCAGCTCTGAGTTCAGAGACTGTCAGCCTGCTTAAATATAGCTTCCCCTAGTCTCTCTATGCTACCCAAGGAGATAAACAAAGCTCTTCTGGTTTGTTTTTCCTCTATATTCTGAACCCTTCTTTCCCACCATGAGGATAAAAAACATGGCAATCTGCTGCCCCTCAAAATACCCTGAAAAAACAAAGGAATTTATGACCACGTGCACAGAGAATGGACATTCAGCGTGTAGACGTTGGGACGTATTTGAGTGCTTGCTGCATCTAAGAGCTGTACTAAGCATACTTTACTACTCTCAGTGTAGAAGGCCGAGAACGTTTTCCTCCGTGCTGAGGGCAAGAGGCTTCCAAGAATGTCAAAAATCAATTAAAAGCCAGACAAGAATTACCTCAGGACCCTCTTTTCTGCAGCTCCCTTGCTATATGTAGCTGCAGATCCTTTGCCTCCTTTTGACACCACACACAATTTTCTAAAAGGTACCAGATATTTTACCTGTATATCAATATCTGTACCTGACTATTCCTCTCTAGCACAGTTCTGCCTATAGACAAGTTACTGACTGATAGAAGGTACCCAATTTTGAGGCAGAGTGCTAGGGTGCTGTGCCAGATGGCTCAGACCTGTTAGTGTGACTCCAGTCTCAAACCCGGCCACTTGGTAACAGGTTCAGATTCAATAACCTCTGTTCCCTTCTCACTGCTGTGGTATCATCAGATGGGGGCTTAATTCCCCTCAACTTTGACAATGAATCTCGTGCTCAGGTTCATCTTTACTGAGTAATCTTTTACCAGAACATTTAGATGACTTCTCCCTTCTTCCCACAATCCAACACTCGCACATATCTCGTGGTTTGTGGGTTTTTTGTGACAATATCATTTTAGGTTTGTAACAAGTATGTGATTAAGTTTTCCTACTCACTTTTAATGTCCATCTAGTGTAAAGCAATTAGTCTCTTTCCAGAGACAAAAGAACGTAATGAAGGATGAGCCGTGCAGGTATGCTGAGGCTGCTGCAAATGGACTATCAAGAACTTGCAGCTTGAAGGTTGCAAGTCACCTGGGAGATGCAAGTTATCTGAAAACTACTTGGTAGATAGACTGGAAGAACCACCACTAGACAAGCCAAGAAGACTTTTTGGAGATGGATGGGGAAACTAGTTTAACTTTCTGTGTCAGGACACAGAAAGACAGCAAGACTGGAACCTGAGACAAAGAAAAGAGACTGGAGCATACTGCTACAAGAAGCTGTTTCTTCAAATGCAGGGTGACTCAACTGAGCTTTCCCCTTTCATCTCCCCTACACACAGAGCAGGTTTTGCTGCAGAACACTGGGCCCCTTCCCTTGAGGCCAGGCCCAAGTGGGGCTTCCATAACTCAACAAACCTAGCCAAGATAGACGAGACGTGAGAGTAGGCTTTTCTTTATTGTTTACCCAAATGTCCCTGAATACTGTATTTCAGCTATACAGTGCTTCATTTTGACAAGATTTACGAGTTGCTGCAAAAATCTGATGGTTCCACAGCTCCTGTTAGAGTTACATCTCCAACCAATGCTCGAGCTCTTTTGGACCTACTAGCAGAAGCCAGTAAGAAACAGGGTGCCAAGAAATCCAGTTTTTCAGTAGCAGACCTATGCAGCTTTCCATTGCTGAAGAGTGAGGGGCCAGGGTCAAGCACTGAAAAAATAAACACTCCCAAAGGGTCTATGAAGGAGGGAAGCACAGCCCATCATGCGGTGGTGACAGTTATCCATTCTATGGGGTCAGGTGACTTTCATGTATGTATCTAGGAGGTCAAGGGAGCTCTCAAACTTGGACCTTCTTTTCCATTAGCTAGGCCTTTCTCCACAGACTGAGAAGCTACAGTGTAAACTGCCTTTTTTGAAGGACTAGTAGCATCTCACCAGGTAAATGAACCTTCAAGAAAAGGGCACCAGCTCATTTACAGTATGAATCTAAAACAATAAACTCACAGCATTCCTTAAGGTGATCATAGCATTCCTCAGTGATCTCTTTTAATACCAGTACCTTATACCTTCCCCATAACTGCTCACAGTCCAACCCTAGCCTTTTCTTAGAGCCCCTGGCCACCATTGGGGTTAAGAAATACATCGTGTTCTTGCATACATTTTCTATAGCTTTCAAGAATGAAGCACACCTCACCTGTTGGAGGACATGCATGGCTCCTCAAGGCATGGAGAGACAATGCCACGGAGGAGTTCAGCCCTGTATAGAAACGCCGGCATCCAGAATCCCAGGACTCCAGTCACAAACGCCACAGTTGTAAAACCCAATGTGGACCAGATGAAACTCCAGCTGCCAGATCAGGAGAAACAAGTATCAGAGTTTTGAGAAATACTTTGAGCAAAAGGATGTTATTTCAGGAAGCATAAAAATCATGATCACAAAAATCTATGATGAGAACAGATGCTATACTCAGACCAAGTAGGACAGCAACAGCAGGAGTGTGACCCATTGATTCCTTAATGTGAAAGCTCAACTTTAGCCTCTTGTATATTTTATTGCCAAGATTTATTAAGGCAGTTACAGGTAGGCTTTGAAAGCAAAACTACAATGTCAGCATGCTGCCAGGTCATTAAGTTCTTTGTCGCAATTTGAGAACTGTACAAGTGAGCTTCATACAAGTCAACAGTGCCACCTTGTGGACGGCTGTTCTGTTTTTTAGCCTGGTGCCAAAGCTGAAGTGGTGAGCATGTTGTGGCATGGCTGCACAACTGCTCCACAAATGCACTTCCTCATCCTGCAAATTCTGGCCACAATGCCATGAAGTAGTGTAGCAGGCTATATAACATCATATGAGATTGCCCAAAACCTGTTGATCCAACACAGCTTAGGAAGAACCCACAAGGACAGCATCATGAAAGGGGTTATCGGCACAGGGCCTATGCAGAACTTAACAGCATGTTGATTACTATTAAGGACACAAGTGAGATCCAGATTTCCTTCTGGCCCTGTTTTGCTGATGCTTTCAGACCCATCTTCCTCTGGGCACTTTTCAGAGATGGCTGTTTGGTGGTAAAAAAAAACAGGCTTGGCATTCCCAAGGCTGTGCGTGCAGGTAAGTGGGAGCTGCAATTATTTACTACCTCCTGGAGCCTCTCACATGAACAAATGCCCAGGAAGAAGTGTAGTCAAGGGCAAACCTTGCTTCTGTCAGATATGCAGGGCAGCAAATGCCTTCTACTCTGCAAAGACTTTTGTTAAATCATCATTACAAGGAACATGCTATTTCTGCCAGTACAGAACAGGAGAAATCAGATGGGTTACCGCCCAACATAACAATTGGATTGGTGCTGCCATCTCCCTCAGTCCTCACCCTAGGGTACATATTATCAACTGGAAGTATGCTTGGAAGTCAGCCTTGGAAGATTTCAGCAACTGGCACTCACCTGATGATTATCTGTGTTTGATGTTATCACCATGTGGTGTTATGGGAATATAATCTGAAGGCCCCATTACTCTCCAATAGCTCATTTATCTGAAACCTCAATAGCAGACAGAAAGCCGGGTAGATTTG